AGACCCACACCCACACCCACACCCACACCCACACCCACACCCACACCCAAGAGTTATTGATTTTCGTTCTTTAGCACAAGTGTGCGAGTAAAAGAGAAGATTGCTTGCTTTGTACAATCATCATTATTTCAGTTAATGAATTTTGTATTCGCTCTACGCCAAAGTGACAGTAAACATTTATTTTCATAGAAGTCATCGACGTAGATGCAAACAAATTTAACTGTATGATTTTGAATTGCGTTTAAATAGAAATTACGTTCTTTTTTTCCAGTCAAAGAGAAAATAGAAATCTTCAAAATACTGAAGAAATAGTTTTTTTTTCGTATCGTTCAGCAGAGTTCTGATGAATGCACAAAGGGAAATTTGATATTCTACTCATTGCAGTACACATGAACAAATCAATTAGATGAGCAGAATGTTGTCATTTGTGCCACAACCGTTCATTTTTTTTTGAAAGAAAGAAAGACATAGTAAAATGGAAAGACCATATCTTGATAAAATCACACACAGTACAGTTCAAAAATCTAATTAATTTGTTTTATGAGCCCTTTCTGATACGAAAAATTTTTTCAATTGTCCTCTGTCAATAATAAACGAAATTAAACCATTTTATCAAAATAGAGTCAAGGTATTCAATTTTTTTTATTATAAAGCTACTTATTGACCATTCTCTATACTGTCATCAACCCTTTAGAGATCGCCCTGTTTTTATTGAAACAAACCTAAATTTTTGGTTGCAAAATTAATTATAGTTGAAAATTATTAAACATGGTTTCTTTTTCATTCAGATTTTATGCAAAATATGCACTGTATTTATTTTGAAACAAAACACACATTTAATAACATGAAAAGGGACGTTAGTGATAAAAAACGACTCCATATATACATATATATGGCATGAATAAGCGTTCTTTTTTAATGTTTGGCTCTTGTGTACACATACAACGAAACCTTTGTGAAGAGTCTTTCTATGTGTTTTTTATGTACAGGATATGGAAAGTGCTAAGTTACATATAAGTATATATTGTGCTAAAACTATTTCATAGTGTTTATGTTGTACCATATATATCAGAATAAAAAAAAATCATACTACAAATAAAACAGTTTTAGTACATTTGAATACTGTTCTCTTTAGTCAAATTTCAGGACAGCGTATATGCGACCATCGTCGGATGAGTATGAAAATGTCACAAGTGGCGAAAAGAATTTTGTCGTAAAAATAAATATTCTCTTTCAATATAATTCCGAATTGAGATTAGTTAAGTTAAGTGTTTTGTCAGTATTATATTTTCTTTCATGCTTATCAGCACCTTTATTATCGACAGTGGTGGCTTCTGAATCTTCTTCCTTTTTTTGACATTTTGCAATTAAAGCAACTAGTCCTTTCACAATATGAGGTGTTACGAATTTTAAAACTGTTGTCAGACCACCAATTATACCGAGTAAAGCAGTTACTACTTCAATTGGTTCCCGACGTATTTGCACTATATATGAACATGACGATGGTTGACAACCAGCATAATATTGTTCAAACGATATCTTTGTATTCCAGTCTTCGATAAATAATTGCTGTATAATTAGATTAAGTGGTGTAGTTGGAGTATATCTACTTTTTTTATCTGTATTGAGAATATGCATTGATATATATGAAGGAATGTTTAAAGTAGCAGCAAACATTTTATCATAGAAAACTTCTAAAGTAGAAGCAAACAAAGCTTCCATAGTTGAACAACCAGTATAAACTCCAGGTATACCATAGATCTGCAGGCTGCCACCCACCTGTTCGATGGAGGCTGGTGTAACGCATGATGCATTCATATAGCAATAACATTTGTTGTTATCTGAATCGATAAGTGTTCGAAAACCAAATTTTACGGACGTAGATTGAAATAATGCAGTTACATTTACTTCTCCATAGAAGTTTGTTCCATGAGCGCCACGCAAAACTTGATCGTCAGTCAAAAATCTTCGTACCAAATCAATTGATTTTTTAAATGAATTTGCCGTGGAACTAGTAAACAGATCAATAATTGATTGAACTTGAGACTGAAAAACATCTGGTTCAATTGTATAACCGCTCACGAGGTTCGACTCATAAAATGCCTTCAAAGAATCATTGACTGTTTCCATAGATAGGCTACAGAAGTCTCCAAGGGCTATAAAGAACGCAGTAGGAGAAACAAGGGTTGGCTTGGATGACAATTCTAGAGCAAGATCAACAGCAGCTACAATGTCAAGCCATGATCGTGTATTGAAATAACTTAGACAATACTGATGATACGACGGATTTACAGTGATGAATTGTTTATATGGAGTTGCAATGCGACTACATGGACAAGTAAGTGTTGATTTATATCGATCATGTAAATTTAAGTATATCTCCAGATTTGGTTCCTGTTCGCTTTTCGTTATAGTACGTTCCGTCACTGAATAATATGATATAATTGCAATAAGAGCAACAATCCATAATATCACATAAAGATACGTTTGTAGGCGACCTAATATGAGAACACCGCTCTCAAAATTGTATATTGGAGTAGGAAATAAATTGATTTCAAGAAATTTTTTCTTCGCTTTCGTGAAACAAGAGGGAGTCATATCTTTGCAACTACAAGTGAAAAATACAACAATGCATAATTTCTTTCTTTACTGTCGATTCTAATAATAGAAGGCAAACAATGTTTTTTTATTTTAGCTAATGGTACTTTAATAGACGATGCTAATGGTTTGAAAACAGAAGGCGTAAAACATTTCTCTCATAGTGTTTGTTACTATGTAAATATACTCCTTTTTTTGCATACTTTGTTTGTTATAGAAATTAACTTTTTCATATGATGTCTCAACTATTACACTTCAAGTTAGAAATTTCTATAGAATAATCTGGCGATGGATGGTAAAATTGAAAAAGTATAGAAGAACAAGAAAAAGAAAAAGATGGAAATGAAATAAAAATGTAAAGTTGCAAGATACTTGCTGTAAACTACCATTTCATTTTGAAGGAGAATTGAAACGAAAATTGATGGACAATCTATTCAAAAATAGCACTATACTAAAAAATCGGACACACCATTACCAAGTTGCAAAACAACAAGGATTGTAATTATGCTAAATGCATGCATTCATTTGTGCAAAGCTACACGCTTTTTGTTTTAGAAAAGTCGATGACATAACATTATCGAATAATCATTCATATCCAATATCATACAGTGGTAAAACTAATAACTTTCCCGCCTCGAAAAATAATGGTCAATCAGGGCAACATCATTCCGACGTATTTTCGTCGTAAATATATGTTAGATATTATATAATTATACAAAGTATTTGTTTTTTTCTCGTAGACTCGCACTTGATGATGATCAAGATCGATCTCCGTCATATAAAGAACAGAATATTTATTCCTCTCATCAGCTTCCTGTATCGAACTCGCAAAGTGTGTTACCGACAACAGAGAAAGCGCAATCGTCAACTTTCTTATTCAAAACTATATCGATCAGAGGATAGTAAGTTTTACACATATGAAAACATTATTTATTCAAACATTTCTATGTTTCATTCAAGTGAAATAAACATATGGATATTGTTTTTGATAATTATTGCCTTGATCATTATTCTCCTAGTGGCCATTGTGGTACCAGTCATTCTGGTTATACGAAACAAAGATTCATCACAACCTAGTAAGAATTGATTCTAATGTAGAAAATATCTAGTATGATTGGTCACTTGCTTATCAAAAGATACACAACTGTATTCAGGTCATTCAGCTGATTGTGAATACTAGATCTTTGGTTACAGAAACGAGATTTTAACGTATATCAGACTTTCTATGTGGTGTATGGTAGAAAAATATTTCCGACCCGTAACGTAAATGATGGGATACTAGAATTTGTATTTCTTGAGGACTTTTTTAACTATGATCAAATATTAGCTCAGCAACACTGACATTCATATCTACATCCTCATCCTCATCTTCACCCACACCTTATATATATAAAGCAATCAATAGAGGATTCACCTCAAAATAAACTTATTGAAGAGTCTCAATCAATTCCAGTAAGATAAGCTACAGTAACTGTTACACTCACTCACAGACACCTACACCCAGCCCACATTTTGCAGGTATGACTCACACCCTTGCCCACACAGAGATTCACTCGCATTCTCAAGAAATGTCCTGAAATATTTAGAAGTCTTCTCTTTTTTTTGGCTTGGCTTAATTTCATTTTCTTTGCAGTTAAAATTGACCAGAAGACTTCGACTACTGGCACTCCACCAACTTATACTCTAATTACAAGCCAACGTGTTCTCTGGACAGGCAGTTTCATGGTTGCTAATTCCAGCTGTGATCAATCGCAATGTTGCTGTTTTATGAACAATATTGTTCTAACGCAACCGACGTCTACCACTTTAAGCATCTCGTGTACAATCGATGGAAATTGCGATACGACACGATGTCTGTTAGAGAACATGGAGTATCCAACCGGTTACAGTAAATTGGTGACAGTAAATAAAACCCCATACATGTTCGAACTGAGTGCTGACAGAAACACTCTTGTGCTAAGAAATCTGTTAAGCTCTGCATGTAGTGTAACGACCACTCGACTAGGTTTTACTACATCCTCACAACCATCTACACTTGCGCTCACAACTACGTCCACAATCGTTTTGACAATTTCATCCACATTTGTACTAACTACTACATCAACAAGCGCATCGACCAGCATAGTCACGACCGTACCAATAACGACATCAATGATCAATCAACGGCCCCCGTGGCCGGGCACTTTCGTTATTCGTTCCAGTTGCAACCAATATTTCTGCTGCTGTCCAATTGGTCAAGTTTTTATAACGCAGACTTCACCCAGCACTCTGCGCATCGCGTCCACATTAAAAGGCTTCTTGTGTGCTACATTCGCAGGTTCACAAACAGTTGATGTAACTTATCCATCCCAGTACAGCATACCGCTATCACTCTTAATATATTCTTACAATATTGCATTGAGCTTGGATGGTAATACTATAACACTTACAAATGCGAACATGCATTCCTGCGACGAAACAGCCACTCGAATTGGAACTGGTCGTTAACTGGGACAAATGAAAACCCATCCGTGATGACTGTTCTCCGTTCTGCACTCCTCAGTGTATTTGTAATCAATGTATTCCTTCGCATGTGGCCTGCTTGCTTCTAAATTAACCTTGCTTTTTTAAAAATATTCATTAAACTAACATAATCCTCGCTTCATTTGAACACAGTCTAATTTCATCAGAGGATGTGAAGGTGGGTAGGTATATGGCCGTTGTGATAGATCTCACGTTTCTTTCTACCCATACCTACACTCACACCCTTTTGTCTGGCGTCGACGAGGGTGTGGGTGTGGGTGTGGGTGTGTGGGTGTGGGTGTGGGTGTGGGTGTGGGTGTGGGTGTGGGTGTGGGTGTGGGAGTGGGTGTGGGTGTGGGTGTGGGTGTGGGTGTGGGTGTGGGTGTGGGTGTGGGTGTGAGTGTGGGT